GGTCGGACAGGGGGGGCAGGGGAGTCAGGTCGGGCGGGTTAACCTCAAACGGTGCGCGTGGCAGAGGAGGGGAGCGGGAGAGGCAGAGGGTTCTCGGTGAAGAGGAGACAGTTTCAAGTCGGTCCGGCATACAGCAAGTATATCTTCAACGGTACAGGGACAGGATGCAGGATAAAGGGCCGATCAGATCAGTGCGTAACGTGGACGGCGCGTGCCAGCACCAGCAACAAAACGCGTGCCGTCATCATGTTGAAGCAAGGGATGACACGAGAAACAGAGGCGATGGTAGAGTAGGTCGCAGGCAACCACGAGTGCACACAGAAAATAATTGCCTTCCGCTACAAGGACAAAACCATGTCCGTCACGCACGTGTTCCTGTATTTTCTCATCCTTTGTTTCTGTATCTCAACGTTCATCTACCGGTGCTCCAAGCCATGTATGTATCTATTACAACGTATGCTTCGTACTACAATGTTCGTTTTGGTACAATACCCGCCAACACGCCAGAAAATACAAAAATACGAGGGGCAACCCGCCCTCGCTGCCCAGAATGTAAAACCTTGCCTGGGCTTGATCTCTTGCTAATTCTGTGGTGACAACTACACTGACACCAGAGAACAGAATAAAGAGAAACGTAACTCGCCCAAGGAGAAAAGTCCTTGAATTGAAACCCTCGTCACCTGGACTTGTGTCGGCTTCATCGTGGAGGAGCACTTGTAGTTGTACTTCTTTTCATCGGGGTGCGGCGGGTAGTCCTCGTAGAAGCGCTTCTGCACCATAGCCACAGCCTCCATCACCATCTCGATCGGGTTGATTGCCTATAGATACACACACGGGCAGAGAACGGCGGGTGTCTACTGTGTGCACTTCGGTCGTCTCGCTGTTGCAAAGGCCGGGGGGAACATCGGCCTCTTATCAAGCCCATTCGTATGAGACACAGCAGCTTGCAAGCGAAATGTTGGTTGTGTCGGAGATGATGCGAGTTGCTCTCTGATGTCATGAGCAACTAACGTTTGGCCGAAGTACAGAAACGTATCTTTGAACAGACACCACAACTGTCAGTGGTGGACGATGCAGCGAGTTCCGGATTCTTCCCAGCGTGCGGAGAGCGCGGTCTGGTGGTCTCCTTTTCATTCGGGTATGATCGTGCGTATTACAGAGGCGAAACAGATCAGCGAGATGATGAAGGCCGTTGTAATCAGCAAGCAATGCATACTGTACAAGACAAACAAAAACGCCTTGCTGCTGGGCACTTACCATGTTGCAAACAAACGCCACCGAAATCAGCCAACACGAACGACAAGTTCAAGGTTTACCATGTGAGGCAGGCCCGAGTGAAACAGCTTTCCGTTGGCCTTGATCATCCACTGCATGTTCCCGACGGTGCCGACGCACGGCTGGGAGTCCGCAGAATCAACCCAGAAGATAGGCCCCTTGCCGATACCGAGCTCATCCAACTTCCCCGAGCTGTGGAGTCCGTCCACACCGACCCCTTCGATCTCCCCGTTCTCTTCGTTCGCGCTGTTCAAAGTGACGCAGTGACATACGTCAGTGACAAAGAAACATAGTGACAGGGAAAAACGTGGTTGACATCACGTGTTGGTTGATTCGGATGCAAGCGGGCATCAATGTACATGCCAAACGATTCCATGCGTTGCCTTAAGTTGCCGGTGCCGTTAAGACGGGCCCGTTGCGCGCCGAATGCAATATTGCGTGCAGCCGGAGTACATATTCATGTTCTTGCCCCAACGGACAAGAGAGCATGGGGCGGCAGTCAGATATTCCGAAATCGTGTCATCCCGCCACGTATGTAAGCCGACTTCTGCACCGGACATAGACACGAAGGACTTGGCGCGGCACCAACCACAATGATATGCCATGTCTGTCTGCACCTGATCCCTCATGAGGAAAACTGTTTTTGAACGAGGAAAATAAACACGCCCGTCAGCAGCCTATGTCCGTGTTCATGTGTCGGCCGGCTGGCTGAGTGACTGACATGAAAATCGCCAGTACCGTCCGCGAGAGAGCCGGACGCTTCGCGGCTAGCTCCACCATGAGGTCCGTGATCATCGCCACGTGGCCGAGGCAGTCAGTGGTCCCTCTGCCGTAGAGCTTATCACCATCCCGGGTAAGGTGGAAGGGGTCCACCTGCGTACCATAGCAAGCAAGGCGTGCGACATGATTAGAGAAGTTCGCTTGTGCAACACTTACAGAGAGGGTTTCTTGCGCACGAAAGCTTGGCATAGAGGGGGGGGAGAGAAAGACAAAGGAAGACCGTATTTCATTCGCTTTGCGAGGACAGAACTCGCAAGGGAAGAAAACGGATGACGCCAACTACATCGGGCCATCCCTGCGGTCCGTGCGTGATCCCCAAGACTCTGCAGCATGGCATCTATCTTCAGTCCGAGTCTGGGTGTCGGAACTACCGATAAAAGTCTTCGCTCTCAATGTGCGCCCGCAAACCAGAATCAACAGACCCTTTGACATCGCAATTCGACTACAAAATGCTTAACAGTCTTGCCAAAGGACCGGCTGCAGTTCCCGCCAAACATATCTAACCACACCCACGAACATCCACAGAGTGTGCAAAGCGAATATATCACACACCAGGTTCTGCCACTGGGCAGTGGCGAGACACACGCTTCCTCAGCACACCTCAACGATACCGCATCTGGACTGCGGACCGCCAAAGCAAGATTTCGAGAGTATCTAGAAAAATAAAAGGGAGGGGGCACGCAGACGACCCTCTTCCTAACCCTAACCCCAAAGCACGAATTGAATACTTTATTCCATATGTTGCTTTATCAATTTTGTCGCGTAGACTACGACTTTGTTGCGTAGAGTGCTGTGCACTGCACAAACAAGAGCAAACCCACCTCCCACGTTTCCGGGTTTGCCGGTACGACATCCAGGTGACTTCCCAGGAAGGTTACCGTTTTGTCCCCAGTGCCTGCGTCGTCACGTTTGCGCGTGTTTCGAGGGTTTTGTCCCGAACGCGCAGGCACGGGAGGGCGGGAACGGAAGATGGGCAGTTCCAGTTACAGCAGGAAATAATGCCGTTACAGATGCAGTGACATACGGCGATCCAACGTCGTTTCGTTTATGCTGGAATCTATCGATTGGCAGGAGAAGCGTCTCTCCAATGTACAACTACTTTCGATAATTATATTCCTCAGATGACGGCTTGCCTGGGTATTTGATGATGACGTTCCCGCGCCCCGGCGTAAAGTGGACCCGCTCCACCTCCAGCGGGCCACCGTTCTCAGTGGTGTAGGGCTTCAGGAGCTCTAGCACATGGTCGCTGGCATTGTCCTCTTTCGGAACCATGTTCTGGGAGGCCGTGGGGGTGTGCGGGCGATCGGATCGACGATCGGACGGAAACAGACACCATCGCAACCGCACATCCGTCCGCAGGAACAGCGAACAGATAGCGTTCGTACAGTAGTTTTCAGGCTGCAGCTCGAGAACAAAGGCAGTGTAGACTGTATCGAGCAAGTGTCCGTTGTCGTTCCTGCTTGGCGAGACTACTTCAGAACCCTCAGCTGCAAATCATGGTCTCGTTGGTCCAGCGAAAGCTACCATTATTGGGGAGAGCGTACGCCCCTCGTGTGGTGGCACCGGAAATTGCTCTTCAAAGACAACCCCTGTTGGCTTCGCACACATTCAGAAGTTCAGAGGGGCGCCGCTGTCGTTCTAGCTGCAGATTCTGTAGATGACCGAAGAGGTTCAACGTTCAACTCGAACCATCCAATGAACGGGTACAACAGAGAAATGCACCGCACTAACGGGTACTATGCAGACTACTGCTGTCTTGGTCGCTTATAACAGCAGTAAGCTGTTAGGTTGCAGAGCACATCCAGAGGCGGTAATTTCTCGAACAACCGACATGTGCACACCAAATACGGGTGTAGACAATCTCAGAACATCGACGAGAGCTACATATTGCTGTGCAACGATCCGTGACCAGCAGACGCGTTGTACGGCGGAACATACCTGGGAAGGGTTGTTTTGGAGCGTGGCCACATTGTCGATCAACTTGGTCAGCAGCCCTACGAAGCGCTCTTCGTCGATCTGAACAGTAGAAAGCAGCTCCTGCACTTCTCCGGCCGACATGCTCGACATTGTTGATATGTTTATGCCTGTTTGAGGATGGCCGCAACCTGCTGCACCAGCACGAGCCGTCCGGGAGCCTTGGGGGTGCGCCTCCGTAGCGCGATGAATCCCCGGGGCCGCTCACGGAACTATGACAGGTCGCGTTCGCCACCGGCGCATTTCGTCACAACCTCAGAGGAGCATGGAAGAGAAACGGCGGGAGATCTTTGGGGTGGATGGGGTCGACGAGTTCTTCGGTGATGATGTGGAAGAGGAACGAGAGCAATCCCGCAACATGGCCGACAGGTGGATCGTGTTTTGTGTTTGAACATTTGAAAATGCCCCGCACAACCAAGGTGGTGATCACATGAGCACACCTCGCTTGAAGCTAAATGAGTCCACCTTCACAGCGGGGACCTCTATCGTACCCATCTCCCTACGCGCTGCCTCGGATGGAGTTATCCCTGTAACCCCTAAAGTTATATTCAAGTTTGCGGACTCATGACGGTAGACCATTCATTGGCTTATTTATGCCATCGCACAAGAGGCAACACGTAGGCGCTTAGCTGGATACCCGTGCTTGCGGTGCGGTACAAACAAGCACACAGCCGTAGCTGGTTTGTGACCTCGGCGGCGGCTGTTGTGAAGCGCCATGGTAGCTTTTACCAGCAGCGCACCTTCTCTGTATGGTGCTGCTGGCGTTTGTGGTGAGGCAGATGGAACCCTTGTCTCGCAACTTCTAAAACTTTGGTATCTTCAGCCGTACTAGGTGACATGAGATCCCCCTTTGATCAATACTCACAGCTCAATGTTAGCCCACGACGACGAGGATGTACTAGCCAAGCGTGCGTTTTCGGAAGGCTATCGACCAGGCGGTTCCAATTCCGCAACTATCGGCGCCGCCACTCTTTCTGCTGTGGAGTAATCGAGCTTTGAAATTCTGTCCAGGGGGTGTGATATCTTGTGCCACCTCTGTAGTCAGTCCATTGCAATCTGCCCGGTCGCCCCGGTGTTCTGGTGGTGTCCTCGTAAACCGCTAGTCGCAGAAGTCGTGAGTTCTGATCCCCATGAGCTGAAAATTTTGCAAACTCTGCGGGTGAAAGCGAAACATAGCTAAAAAGCTCTCGTGAGTACCAATCTTCGACGTTAGCACCTTTGACGAGGGAAAGGGACGGCTGGACCCTTCTCGCGATAAATATATATTCAGCACGCACCGCAGGAGGAAGGTGGGGCATGAAAAAAAATACCCAAGAAAAAAACCCTGGTGTTTACCCCCCCCTGTGTGACCCTGGATGGTTGTAGTTGTACGACAAAATACACTGAAAAGTGTAGTACTCTACATACGCTGAAAAGTGTAGTAAACGTCTCACCACGAAAAATGGGGGGACTGTCGCCATAGTAGATAGGACGAAAACACACACAACCTGGGAAGTGGGGGGCCCTCAATAACGCCGGTATGAGCCCAGCGCATCGACCGGCGCTATTCAGAGCGACCGGCGCTATTGGAATAGTGCTTCAACAGCGCCATAAACGGCACGATTGAGGGCTGGCTCAGAAACCCTCAATATCGCCGGTGGTGGCACTACTGAGGGGTTGTGATCATATGGCGCAGCGATTGATTGCGCTTTACGGAGCCAACATTTTTCTTATATTGAACAAGAAACGATTGGGAGGTGAAGTGGGCGGACTGCAAATGATAAATCACCGTAAGCTACGGAGTTTTCTCCCCGGGGAGGGGATGCTTTTTTCTTAAACCAACGCCCCCGGCGGGAAATTGACGTACCGCGGGGGGTTGATTGTTTTTTTCCAACGCTACCCTGGGGGGAAGCCCCCCCCCCGGGGGGTTGTGCAAGATAATGATGGTCCGCACACCACACACAGAGAGTGGTGGTGAAACTGAGATGGATAAAGGTTTACGAGCAAGCGTTCAACAAGCAGAGGGAGGAGGAACGTAAGAGCAACAAAGACGAAGAGAAAAAAGACAGTAAGAGGTACCATTGCCTAAGCTCATGCACAATAATTCGCAGTTCGTCCGCAAGAATAAGCTACTTTTATGCTTGGGTTTTACCTTGAGTTGTGAGATCCAAACAAAAATTAAACACGATTTTTTTTCCCTTTGTGCGCAAGGTTTCGTCAGCATGTTATATGGTACATTTCAGCTGACTCCAGGGATGATAAATGCAAGAAATAGACAAAAAAACGAAAGCAGTTCACCCATAAAACAACGGCGGGGGCCAAGTGGCAAACGGTACACCTTAATCTCGCTCGAAGCGCAGATCTGCAAGTGAAGTTTGCGTCCTTTATCATGCTTTTTGTGCTCCGCGATGCAACGAAAGCGACTCGGAAAACAAGGGAAATACCCCCCTCCGGGGGAACTCGTGGGAAAAATGGTACCCCGGGGGGAAATTGACATACCGGGGGCATTTTTTTTTTTTGGTCGAAAGCGATCTACCCCGGGGCTAAATCAACGAACTCATGCTTCCAGGCCGAACAGGTAGTGGGGGAGGGTATGCTCATAGTCGTGCATGCCGTAGTCGTTAGACCATTGACCACGCGTCCTCGAGAGGACGGAGCATTGTTCCCACAGGACCGATCACCGATGGCCAATCGTTCCTTTCTACTTTGCCAAAGGTGGCTCAAAAATGTCTTCCCTAGTCTGTCTATCCTAACGATATCCCTTCCCGCCTTTTCAACTCACCTTTTATGCCCCAGTACAGCTACCGTCCTTTCCTCTCTATTCTATGCCTCAAACATCTC